GCATCAGTGGAAATCAATTTACAGCAGCTCTGAATCTTAACTTTACAGATTCTACACACTACCATCATGCACTTAGCAAGGAATTTTATTCCCACTGTGGAGTTACTGGATGGCTGCGACAAAGCTGGGACAAAGAAACCCTTTCTCTAAGGAACTGCAGTGTAATTGCAACCAACCCCACAGAATTTCCGCAACACCCAACTGCTTTTACTCCTACTGATTTCTTCAAGGTTCATCCACAAGGACATTTTCCTATGCAGTTATAAAACCTGCAAATGGAAATACACATTTTAAAACTGGCTCGAAAAGAGGGATCAGAGATGGAGTTAAAGCATTCCTAGAAGTATCTGCAATTCTAGCACTACAGCATCAACAAGCTCTAGATTTCCCTTTGGGCTTGTTACAGCTCCTAATCCCTACTCCCTGTGGGAGACCCCCCCCCCGCCAAAGTCAGTGAGGCTCCTCTTACAACAATCAGAGGCAGCAGGACCAAAAGGCCAGAAGAGCTTTAATAAGTTCCCTGATCACACCCTAATATTCTGTCCTGATTCTGCCCCAACTGCTGCATCAGCTCTGAATCTCAGTGGCTTGAAAGGGGTTTCCCATGTATCCATCAACCCCCTGCATCGCATGAAGTGTTGGGAGGATTAAATACAGGCTGATACATGGCAGGAGTACATCTGTCCTTCCCCAAAGAGGATGAAAGTGCTGTGAATTATTAATCACTATAAATTATACCTGCCAATGGACATCTTTGTTTTAATACCTTACAGGAAAACATTAAAATTAAGTGCCATGATAGGGAAATGACAACGGAGATCAAACATGCTATTATGAGGAGGTAAAATCATACAACTGCTCAGGGAAACAGCCTCATCTTTTTTGAATGCAGACTGTCTTAGGTTCTGAGGGTGAATCTGAGATTCACTTTCCAGCCACACAAACAGGTCGATAGGAATGTACGTATGATCTGAAAATTGAAATTAACTTTCCAATTGATTTTGTTTCCTTTAAAATCCCAGGAAACCTTGAGAAGGTTCAGAAATAACCTTTTAAGAACAGAGATCTTGTCATAGAATGTTTGTTAGAGTAACGTCCTGAGCATTTCAGCTGCACTACAATCCTCACTGTCCTTAACCAAACCCAAGCCACTGCTCCACAGTTCATTTACTACTACATCATGTTCTTTGGAAAGAGACAGTCCTCTTCAGGGTTCTGAAGGGATCTGACAGGAATTGCTCCATCATTGCTGCAGGATTATTTTGCAAGCAATGATTACTAAAGCAAAGCTAGAAAAATGGCAGGCATTGTAACAAATTAAACTCAGAACTGCATTTCCAGCTGTCAAACACCTTCTTGCTTTTACACAGCAGTTCCATTAATGATCCAGAGTGAACATTATGATTTTGAGATCTCAACAGTGTCCTGCTACTCATTATTTCTCTCCAGGAATGACTAACCATGATCCTGAGAGCTCTGAGGATTTAGAAAGAAGTCCAGTCATGTCAAAAGCTTCCTGACACTGTTTTGCAAGTGATCCCTCTCCTGTCAATTCTAAAAGAATTCTAAAAAGTATTTTCCTAGTCTCTGATAGCATCTGTTACTTATTACAACAGGACACAGCTTTGTTGGTTTAGATAGTAGTTGACATCCGGTGCTCTGCACTTCCCAAAGGTCCCAAAGTTTATTCCCAAAGGAATAAACTATTTCTAAAGGATGCAAAAAAGGTGACTTGCACAGGGGAACCACCTTAGCCACCGCAGTAACAAGATGGCAACAGGAACTTCAGCTATCAGCTTCAGAAGAGACCTGTGATCCCAGGCCTTGTACTTGTGCTGAAGAGTCCTGGCATGTCCTCAGGCTCTCCATGCAAACTCAGTTAAAACAAGCCCTAGGCTTGCTGATCCCTCTTGCAATCAAACATTGCTTTTCCCTGCAGATGTTCCCCAAGAGACCATCTCTTTCCCAAAGAGCTGTGCAAGGCAGAAGTAATGCCAATTATGCACATGGGAAATCTGGGAAGTACAGAGAAATGACTCAGGTCAAGCAAGCAGTCACCAAGGGGGTTTTGACCATTAACGGTCTAAACAGGGAAGATGACCAAGTTTAAGACGGGAAGAAGCACAGGGAATTCTCCAAGGCCTGGCAGCTGGGAAGAGGCAGAGCTTCCCTCAGCTGTGCTGAGTTACAGACCTGTTGAATAGGTCACACTGCCTCCAGAGGCCTAACTGCAAAGCACTGCTCAAAAGAAGATAACGGAGCCTTTCTGGTGCCTCTAGAGATGATCTTAACCCTGAATGATGAGGCAGCATGGCCCAGAGGCAATACAGCGAGGCCATTATAGATGCTACACAATACCCTAGACAGGATAGACACAAAGAGATGTTATTGCCCTTATCTTCACCTGCAGAACAATATATTGCAATTTAATGTGGAATAATTACATTCCTTTTTTTTTAATCCTCTGGACAGTAAAGACCTAGAAAAATAAAACATAGCTTGTCTTCATTTGTTAATTACTTCAGTGGAGATTAATACAAAACCTTTCCATACAGTGACAGAAAGGATGGCTGTGGTTCTAAACCCACTCTGGATCCAGTCATGGGCACAAATACTTCCACCTGTCTCCACTGCCTCCAGCTGATGGGCACCCACTCCCATTAGCTCATGACATGGTCTTTTGGTTGCTGTTGTTTGTTCCACCTATTGCTAAAAATTGCAATTATTGTCAGTCTCAGGCTAAAGAAAAAAAGGCAATAAAGGTTCCCAGCCTACTGTGAAATAATGCAAGATCCTGTAAATTAGCATATATTTAGCATATAATTTAGATTCCTATCACAAGGAAAGAGTGGACCTTCTACCCAGGGAAAACCTATTTCAGATATGCTATTAAATGCTTAAGACAGAGGTTTGCAAGTAAGGTGCCAAATTCAGCTGCAAAACTTCAGAAGCCTTTTAACTCCCATCTGAAATCATTTTAATGCAGTTTCCCTTAACACCACTTCCTGCAACACTTTTTATCTTTTAACACGTTGAGCTTTGATTCTAAACACATTTCTATTAACTACACTCAAGTAAAGCCAGTTTTATCTGCTAAGGATCTAACCACTGATTCAAGCCATGGATGCAGTCAGCTGAAAAACCAAAGCTAAACCACTCCTGCAATAAAGTGCCAATCCATAGCAAGGCATTTGTAACAAAAGGCTGCACTCACCCAGAACCCCTCACAACACAATCCATTGGCATCAGTTATGTAAAAGATAATGAGAAACAACTCAAGTGGTTTGTGCTATCCCATTACTTCATACCTTCAGTTAACATTTATATGATAATCTTTAAAGTAAAACCAAAACCCCACACTTTTAAACCAATGTGTGGACTTGTCATTTTCCAGCATACTGTACTCAAAGGTTTTTATTATACCAGAATCCTTTTATCACACAATTGATTATTTCAGAATTCATTTATCACCTGCTTAGATTTATGTCCTGCAGGGCATCACTGCTTCAAATTGCCCAACTTAGTCCTGAAAGTGTCCTGAATTGCAAAACCTTTGACTCCCCAAGATGAAAAGGTGTGTGCCCTTCATCCTTGAGATGCACCTTGGTTAGTTCAACAAGACTAATTTAGCATGGAAGGTTACTCAGTTAGTAGACACTTGACCATGTTCGAATCAAACCATAGGCATTTGTGTGTTTGGGTTTGGCAAATCAGGTCTGAAGTGGTGTGGAGCTCATCCCACTCCTAGTTAAAGGTTGGTAAGCAGCACTTCTTAAATCCGGGCCTACCTTTGTGATCTTACCATAACAGCAGCTGGTCATATGTGTAAATACAGAAGGATGGAGCAAGAGTAGGAAGAAGCAAAGATCTGATCTGGGGAGAATGAGCCCCCAGTAACACAGTAATATTGCACATTTCTGAAAGCAGGAGAAAGTGGTGAATGAACCAATATTCTAAATGCCAGGTAGATTTCTGCCCTGTACATGCAATCCATACCACCAGTGAAAATCAGGGGGCACATCCTAGAAACCAATTCCAGAAGAAAGGACTGCTCTGTAAGACCACTGGCGGACTGCTCAGAGAAACTCTTCTCCTGTATGTTGAGAGTTTGTCAGTTTACTGTCAGTGCTTCATACATTTCTGCTCTTCCAGCCTATGCAAGGGAGCGAGCATTGTCAGAGGAAGCCATGGAGTATTTCAAGGCTCAGATCTGAATAAAGCTTGTTTAAATCTATTTATTGCAGCAAGCAAACATGCATGGTCAGCTAGACCTGTGGGTTAAATAGGTTTTGCCTCAGGAAGAGGACAGGTTTTATTACACCATGACACATAAGAGAGTGACAAAATAGCTTCAGGAGTCCTAAAAGGCTGGGAGGAGTTCAGTGGGTTTCTAAGAGAACACCACATTCCTGTGAAAGTTCCAGATATTCCCCAGGCAAAAATCTCCACTGTAGCCAGAGGCCTTGATTGAAATGGGTATTGAAATACAGCTCCCAGGGGTCACTCTGGAGCCTGTCCTCCCCTGGGAGGAAAGGGCAGGAGTTTCCCCTGGAAGAAGCCTGCAGGGATTTGATCCCTGTAGGTGGATGCTCAGGGATGCTCCTTTGCTAACAATTGCATTTCTGTTCTTGTGAGCTGCAGTCACTGAGCTGGGTGGGGCATTCTGCTACCGTGGTGCTGGGGAAACGCTTAGGAAAGAAAAAAGTCCATCTCTATCAGCACACAGGAAGGCAGGGAAGGGAAGGGTGTTTGTGGGAGCAGGAGCTCCTTTCTTCTGCCCTGCACCTTGTGCACATACACACACACCTGCAGAGAGCACACGGGTGACATTAGAAAAGGCTCTAGGAGAGACGCTGCTTCTTAGAGGAAGACACTGGCAGCCACATACATGCAAGTGACATAAAGGCAAGAAACTGCAGGGTGGAAAGGACAGATCCCTTCTGCAGCCTATCGTGTGCTCAAGTGGCATCTCACACACACACATATATATAAGCACCCACCTTGTCATTCAGGTTCTGCAGCGCCTCCTTCCCAGTGGCACTCCTGATCTCCACCTTTCTCCCGAAATCAACAGATGGTTCCCCTCCCTGCCTGCTCTGCCTGGAATAGACGGACTGAGCATCCGGACCCAGGTGGGCAACATCCTTCTGCTTTGCCACCACTTTGTTAGATCCGCGGCCCACTGAGAGGGAGTCGAAGTCGATGGTCTTGTTCTCCAGGGAGCCTTCCACGGGGCAGAACATGCCACAGAATTTCTGCCGGGGCTTGGGACTGCCCGAGCCCAGGTTTTTGAAGAAGGCTGGCACTTCTTCCTCCTCACCCGGCCGCCCAGACTGCTTCTTCTCAGCCATGGCTTGTGTGGTCTCCCTGCTAAGGGAAAATAATAACAGCAGTAACCAGGAGGATCCTTCACACACACACACGCACGCAGACACACGAAAAAAGGAGAGGAAAAAAAAAGCAGCAAGCGATTGCTCAGGGTCCTAGAGACACGGCAACATCAACTACGGTCCCCTGCCCCCATCAGTGCGAGGTAGCCTGTGGCTCGCTGCTCTGTTTTCTGTGATGCGGTGCAAAGTTAAGGGAAGGTTGGGGCAGATCCTGCTGCAATCAAGGGAGGAGGTTTCAAGTTCCCAGCATCCAGATGGGGAGGGAGGGAAAAGGAGAGGAAAAAAAAAAAATTAAAAAAATCCTCACTCTGCAGCAGAAACTGAGGATTGATCCGGAAGTGATGCGCGTGGTGAATTGGCAAATGGACTCGATCAGGTTGGAGCAGTGGCGCCCATCACACCCTCCCTTTCCCCCTCCCCTTCCCTGGCGTGCTGCTGCTATCACTACGAGTTGCCCAGAGGCTGATGGGGCCAGAGCCCCCCCCTCACCTCCGCTGCTCTGGAGGCGTGTTCCCAAGACAGGGCAGTGAGGAGCTCTTTCTTCCTCCCCCCAGCCCCGCAATGGTGGAGCCAGGGAGTGCTCCGGGAATCCTTTTGTTCCTCACTTTTCTCAGAGCAACAGAGCTGGAGGGCTGGGTCAGTGGGCTAGTGGGAGGCAAGATGCTGACTCATCTTTCTGGGTTTTGGGGCATCGCTGGTGCCTTGACTCAGGTGGACCCTCTTCGGGGGATGAAAAGGGCTGATTGATGGCACTGGAGAGAAAATGAGAAAGACACACAGATGGACGAGGGGTGTGGGAACCGAGTGAGACAGGAAAACGAGCCGTTAACCACGACTTACCTCCAGGAGCTGAAATTAGTGACCTCTGGAGTCAATTAAGCCTCTGCAACGCCAGCAGCCCCCAGGCCCTCCCTGCAGGGGATCAGGGGAGGCAGCCAAAGGCGGCTCCAGCTGAATGCAGGTTTCTAGAGGAGGAGACAGCGCAGCAGCCCTTCTGCCACTCCGCTCTCGCCTATGCATGGAGGGCCGTGGGGGGACAGCGGGCAAAGAGGTGAGGGGCTGGAGTGAGAGAAGCGGGGCCACACGCAACGACATCCGGGCCGGCCGCGGGCGCTGTCCCTTCAGCACCACCCGGCTCGGGGGGTGGGTCAGAGCCACGTGCCAAGCCCCCAAAACTGCCCCACAGAGGCTCGCATGAGCTGCTGGGCTCTATCACACCCTCCTGCTCCTCGTGGCTGCGAGAGCTGCTTGTGTCTGGGATCCTTTTTGACTTATTGTTTCGGGGTTGTACCCAGATGAACTGCTCCAGCAGCAGGTGATGTGGAGCAAGGCTTTCCAAGCCTTCGTGGTTTCTGAGCCTTAGTGGTGTCCGATCCAAAGGGCTTGGTTCAGCAGAAGACCCCATGTGGCTCTGCAAGTCCAGCTGAGCCCATGTACGGGGATGGAGAGCCACTTTCATCCCAACGGTGCTGCACACAATAGGTTTGGCTGGGCTGTCTCCACCTGATCCATGTTATTAACACTGCTGATGTGGGTCCTAACGGCTAATCCATATGCAATATCGCTCTGAACTGAACCCAATCACCAAGCTGTTCGTTCCTATGCATTATTCATCAGGGTGCATCTTTGCACACGCATACATTAAATGTTAATTTGGAGGCATCTGTGTCCAAATGGTTACCAAGCACCTTTGCACAATTCAAGAAAACCGCTAGAAGCAAAAATTAAATTAAAAAGGAAAAAAAATCTGAGCCCTCTCTCCCTGCAAACCACACCCAGATCAATGCATCTGTACCAAAGGGTGGAAAAAAAAACAACCCAAACCAAGGTCACAAGCCCTGTAATAAATGCACAGCACAGCAATAAAAGACTCCAGACTAAAAGGAAAGAAATAAACCCACAGCTTGGCCCTGAAGGATGAAGATGATGTGCTCTGGTAACTAATGAAGGAGGGAGAAATCCAACGACAGAGGCCCTCCAGGGGAAAAGCTCCAGCTCCTTCCCCTTCTGGGACCACAGCAGTGGATCAGCCAGGGTTGTAGGCACACTGATCTCAGGTGCTTTGTTGGGGATTGGAGGCCAACATATGGTCTCTCAGGTACACCAAAGCCCTGTATTATTCAAGGTTTATAAATATTAATAGTCCTAGCACTGCTGATCAGGCAGTTCACAGAAGCTGCAGAGTGCTGACAGGGGCTCCAGCAAGCTGGAAGCCTCCAAGTGATTGTGTTGACACGTCCTGCAGTTTGCTGAAACGTAGGCAGTGGCTTTCAGGGCCAGCCTTAAATAAAGCTCATTCATTGCTTGGCACATCCTTGGGAGATGCTCAGATGGCCACAGCCACAAGCCTCTGCGGAGGGGTGGAAAGAGAATGAGCCAGCCTAGAGGTGGTGAAGTGACCGACACCAGAATGAAATCCTGTAAACAGTGCAGCTTCCAACCATTTCAGACCTGAGAAAGGTCACTCCCAAAAGCTGAAGTTTCTGCCGCACAGACCTGACTCTTTTCCAGTAAACCCTCAAAGCACAGACAACAATCACATATTACACAGCCACCTACGAGTATTTCCGCTTTCCACAGGCACTTGAGGTCCCAAAATCAGAGTGATGTCTTGCCTGCAGAAGTCCCATTGAGCCTCTATAACGTCTGACACACAGGTATTGATTAACATCCCAGAATTCCCAGCCAGATACAGCAGATTCCTCACTAACTTTAAAATAAAAAGAGTACAGACTGATGCAACTTAAGATTCCAGTTTGAGTTAGCATGGCACAGCTCCTGTGTGGAAGTATACGAAACCAGCAACTAGATACACCCATGCCGTAAGCATGGAAATAACCAGATTTTGCTGAAAAATCCCTGTGAGCTGCTAATCTGTTTGCTGATAATCCCATAAGGGTGTCTGTTCTCACTGAGAACCACATAACTTACTTTGAAAACAACACTACCCTTATCTGAATTCCATCAACCAGTCAATAAGAGAAATTCCTCAGATAACAGCTCATACTTAGCCCTATTGACAAACAAGAGTGGAGAAACACTGAAAGTACTTAAACACAACCTGAGCAATGAATCAGGCCACTGAGTTACACTGGCAGCCTTCAGTCACCATGCAGCTGATTTCATATTCTGATCCTGTAATGACTATTAACTGGTTCTTGCAATATCACACTGATACAGATAGGGTAGAATAACCTGAACACTTCTTTGCAGATAAACCAGTTAACAATACATGACCAATTAGTTCATTTTATCAGTTAATGCTACCCACACACCATCTAATAAAAGGGAAATGGAGTGGAATCACAACACCAGGTTTTCTTGACATCTTCTAACATCTTTCCTTAACGCTCTGGGCAAGTGACTTCTAGTAGTAATATCTCAACACCACAAAGTAGGATAGTAATGAATAGAGCTTGCGCAGCCTGCCTGAACCTGCAGAGGAAAGTGGTGGCAGAACTTCATTTAGGATTCTTTTATGCTAGTGCACAAAAGTCCTAAGCTAGTGAGGACTTAATGTCACTTAAGCACTGCAGTACCACATGACAAAAGACAATCCCTGCCTGGGGATTTGCCCTGGCAGAGACAAGAAAAAGGGCTGCATGGAGAGCACAAGGATCCTTTAGCAAAAGGAAAAAGACTGACATTGATACAGAGGGGAAAATGGGAGAACAAAGCTAAGAAGGAGGCAAGCTCCTTGTCAAGCAAGTGGAAAATTAGGTCTCTACTTACACACTAATACTCTCTCTGTGCTACACTGCTCTAGTATCTGTGGCCTGCCTAGAAAAGCCAAGCAACATAGGACTCCTTCACCAACATGTGTTGCATGAATGGCTCTAGTGATTCCTGATCTCCTATTCCGTCTGGCCAAGACATGCCAACTTGTCATGCATAAAGGGATGAATGATGCTTTACTACATTTCATCGCCATAGTTACTTCCATGTGCAGTGTAAGGCTGAACAAACAAACTTGATTTGAAATAGAAGCAATGCAATATAAGCTCCACGTTGCTTTACTTGCCTACCATCCTTAGGTGAGGCAACCCAGAATTGTCTTCATTACTTAAAGATTAAGAACCCAGCTAGAAATTACAGCAGTATATCCCATCATTAAACTGCCATTAATAAAACACATGACAGCAACTACTTCCAAATCTGGGGCTCTTCCTATTGCAAATAATTAATTATTAATACTTCCAATGGGTGCAAGATTTATCATGCAAGGCAGGACCCCACTGAAATGGGGATATTTGCAAAAGCAGAACTCTGCAAAACCTACATTCTCCAGTGAAAATGAGCAAAGAGAGAAACCAGTATGAGCTCCGGCACATCTTAAGGCATGGCTCACAGAACCTGGACCCCCCTGCTGCAGTAGGACAGGGTCCCCGAGATCTAGGTAGGGCCAGGGATTTTATGACAACTGGCCATAAATGTTTGTACAGATACCTGGCAGATAATCACAATATAGGGGAGGCATTCTGCCCAGGGACATTTACCTGTCAAAAGGTCAAAACCTCACCAAGCAAGCTGCAGTTACCCATACAAATGAAGCAGGTGTATGTGCCAAAACATGGGCTTAGGCTAGCTGAAGCCCAGCTGACACTCAAAAGTGAATGCAAGTGAAACACCAGCCATTTTTAAGTCAATGACAATCCTCCAGTTAAGTTTCACTGGGTCACAACTTCAGAATGCAGTTTTGTCCTCAGACTTCAGTTGATGCTGTGTTTTCAGCTGGGTCTACTGAGAGGAGACTTCACGGTGAAGTTAACTGCTTTTACTGAATGTAGAGGATAATCTTCATGACACCTGGGAGCATGAGGCTAAAAGCAGAGATCCAATGACCGCTCACATACACTAGCAAAGGATTTTCAAAGAGAAGCTGAACAAAGCTTGAATATAAAACCAGATCTCAAGGATGCTCAGAGCAAGGGCTTGGGACTGCCTGTGCTGACCTCTGCAACCATCACTGCTTACAAAATTATCCAGCCCTTAAACTTACCACCTGGTGGCAATAAACAGGTCCCTGCCTGACCACAAGCTGGGAAAGGCA